CTAGTGCACTGCTGGACAAGGGGCAAGATCGCTCCTGTAGAAAACTGAACTGACACCGTGCAGTGGATTTTTGAAACCAGGCCAAACTCCAGATTCAGCCCTCAGGGTTGTTCACCTCTGAACCACAGGAAAACCATTAAAGGCACCCTTGGCTGCACAAGTGCTTCTCCCATACTGTGATAATCTAAACAGCAGCCCCATCTTTCTGAGGTTTTTTTTAATTTCAATGTGACATGCATATGGACATATTCAATTCTCACACTGAAAGGCACAGCGTTGCATTGCTTGATTCCAGCCACATCATGTCTCAAGTATTTTTATGAGTTTGCAAGCTGCCTTTATTCAATGGGATAGGCGCTTTACATGTGGGCTGAACAACCAAAGGATGCTTCACTCAACTCTGGCCTTAAAACATTTGTGCCTTTCCACTTCCTTGTCACATCAACCTTAGTGGCCAAGCTGTGCCTGTTTAATGCCATGTTTTGTGACACGGGACTAAGAGAGGTTGAGTTATGCACCTCCTGCAGCCACAGAAGCAGCTCACCTCTGAATACCGGCAGCTAGGAAAGGACAACAAAAGGCAGAGAGGCTCACTTATTTGCTACTGCCATGAACACATTAGGCTAGAAAATCTGGCTCACTTGTTAAAAAAAAAAAAAGAGGTAAAGAGTCACTGCTTCAATAAGATAACGGAAGCCCTTGGTTATTAGTCACATCAGAAATGGCAGGGGGTCTTGTGGCACTTTAACCAATTTTACTTGGCATAAGCTTCCATGTGGACTCCGCTCCACAAATAATTGGATGCCATCGGGTCAATTCTGACTTATGGCAACCCTTTCCAGGTAGAGAATACACAAAAGTGGTTGTCCCCATTCCCTTCTTCTGGGAGCATCCTGAGATAGCTGGCCCAAAGTCACACAGGTTGGCTCTACAACGCAGGAGGCACAGCGTGGAATCAAACTCCCAACCTTTAACTCTGCAGTCAGATACTTAAACCACTGAGGACCTTGAACTCTGCAGTCAGATACTTAAAACCACTGAGCTATATATAGCCAGTCAGTTCACAAAAGCCACATAAAATGTATTATTCCTTAAAAGTGCCACAAGACGCCTTGTAACTTTTGTTGCAATAAAACAACCTGGGCACTCCAATCAGGCTAACGCTTTACAAAGCCTGGCATCAAATCAAGCGTCGCATATAGTCCTGCATCACTATGAAACACAGTCTTACAAAGCAGCATTTTCCGGAGTAGGTCATTATTCATTGCTATTCTTCCGTGTAGACGCACAAAGCTATAACCTCAACCAGACATTTTACGCTAACTTAACCCACCTCACAGAACTTTTGTGACTACAGAAGGAAGGAGCGATGTAAATCACCCTGGCCTCTGTAGAGGGAAAGCAAAATAGGCCATGCAGATGAAGGCGTCGTAGGAATATCCCAAATCACTTTAAAATGAGTGTTCTGTTAAGATTTTGCCAAGATGCCTATTTTGGTAACTGGAATTTTGATTTTTACAGAATTACAAGTTTAGCCTAAGATTTAAACTGCTGGATAACTCAATGGTTTAATTATCTGGCCGAGGAGCCAGAAGTTAGGAGTTTGATTCCCCATTTTGTCTCCTTGACAGGGGCTAGACTTGATGATCTATATAGGATCCCTTCCAGCTTTGCAGATCTAAGGTAAGATGAAGATATTGTTAATTTTTTTTTTAAAAAAAGATGCTTTCTCTACATATAACTGCTTTAAAAAAAAAAAGATGCTTTCTCTACATATAACTGGCTGCAGTGCCTGCTCCCTCGTGCCATTCACTGAAAACCAATTTGTTGAGCAATTAATTTCCAGAATGCAGTTTCTATACAATTTACACCACAAAACCTGGAACTTAATATCTGTAGAACATCAAAAGGAAACTGAAAAAACAAATTCATTATAAAATATCTATGCTTTACTGGGACAATAAACAAACCTTTTGGTTAACAGCTAAACGGAAAAACAAAACATGCTTTATTTAGGAATTAATGGATGAAATCCTGTTGCACATTTTTGCAAAAGGAGTATGTTTTAGCAGTAAATATTCATAAATTAAGAAATCTATATAGTTGATATCTGTTGCATGTTGAGTTGCGCAACTCAGTATTCAACAGATAATGTCTATGGAGATTTCTTGATCTACGGCAATTTGCTGCTACAATTTACACAATGTGCACAAAAAGGTATCTGTCAATATATTACTCACTTTGTTAGTCTGGAGGATGCCAAGCAATCACCAAAATCTGAACCCTAATTTTACACATATGGAGAGTTCCCAATGCAACCAAACTGAAGCTGCAACCCTATATACACTTACCTGGGAGGAAGTCCTGCAAACGCAACAGGCCTCACCTCTGAAGAGAAATGTATAGGATTCTATTGGAAACTGCCTTAAGCTTTCACATTATATTACTTAAAGGAAGCCAGAAGGCCAGTAAGAGCTGCACACCACAGGAAAGTCTGTGTTATCAACAACAGATCTAGGGTTTCAGTCTTAATAGTGGTGCCACTGTTATCTATGAGACTTCCAGAATTTAGGAACAGTATGCCACAACACAAATTAGCAAATATGTGAATTTACTCTTTATAAGAACCATGATGTTCTGTTATTTTTATTAAATTAGAGTCAAATGACCCATTCAAAACTGAAGCCAATTGGGAGGAAAAAGAGGGGGAAAAAGCTAGAGAAAGGATAATAAGGTGCATATACAATGTTCAAATATCTGCACGTGATGCAATCCTTCTGTGACTTGCAGCCAGGAAAAAGTTGGCAATCCAAGCTGCTCTATAAGGGTTCTGGTTTGATAGGCAGCAGAACAACCACTTATCTGAGCGGCCTTGAAATTTATGCAATAAGAGGTGACTCAGTTCCCTCCTCACTTGTTCATAGAAAGTACAATATAAAAGGGTATGCGATAGTTGTATCGTATCCTCCCAGAGGCATCTAGTGGGGGGGCCACTGTGAGATACAGGAAGCTGGACTAGATGGACCTTTGGCCTGATCCAGCAGTTCTCTTCTTAGGTTCTTATAAGATTTTGGGTACCCTGGATCCACATGGGCAGTGTCTTTCTTGGCATGGGGTTCCCTGAAATCTGCCTTCAAGTAAAGCTGATGGTAGAACATTTAATCTTCTGAGCATAAATGCTCTATAGGCCTGGGGTGTTTGAAGCATAATTACCTAGCCAGAAGGGAACAGGTTCTATTTCCTAAGGCCAGAGGTTCTTGGTTCTCAATACAGTCGTGCCCCACTTTACGATTGCCCCGCATTACGACGAAACCGCATTACGTTTTTGCAATCTAAAAACGATGGCCTCAATAGGGGTTTTTCGCTTTGCGATGATTGGTTCCCTGCTTCAGGAACTGATTCTTCGCAAAACGACGATTTTCGGACAGCTGATCGGCAGTTTCAAAATGGCCGCCGGGTAAATAAAATGGCTCCCCGCTGTTTTCTGGGACGGATTCCTCGCTGCACAGGCACCAAAAATGGCCGCCCTATGGAGGATCTTTGCTGGACGGTGAGTTTCCAGCCCATTGGAACGCACTGAAAGGGTTTCAATGCGTTTCAATGGGCTTTTTATTTTCACATTACGATGTTTTCGTTCTACAGCGATTTCACTGGAAAGAATTAATGTTGTAATGCGAGGCACCACTGTATCATAAAGGTTAGTGGTCTATAGGCCTGTTGCTGTCCAAGCATTAGAATGGCATCAAAAGGCATACCCATGGACCTCATCTGATATTGAATCACAGATGCCCACGTGCTAATATAGGAATCAGATAGCATATAGTACACATAGTCACGGTGCTCAGCTAGGAAGTGTATTCCCAGCCAGAATTTTAGAGTCTGGATCCATGCACTAGTTTCCAGTCGGCCAACTCCAATTTCTAAATGTAAGGCTGCATATCCTACACATTTAGGAACACCCAGGAGACAGCAGAGTTCGGTGGATTGTATTTTCTCAACCTCCACATTATATGTGCTGATCCAGATAGGTATGCCATAAAGCAGCTGGGCCCTTGTTTTTGCAGGGGCGTGACGTCCACCATTTATATAAAAGAAACGAGCGATAGCTGTCATTCTGCATTTGGCCTTGTTAAGGACATCTTTGCGGTGGGCAGTCCAACCAGAATGATACTTCGTTTAGCTCCAAGTACTTAAAACTCTTTAACCTGTTCAAGGATATTATTTTGCACTGTCCAGTGGAATTTCTTCCTAGACTTAGAGAACACCAAGGTCTTACATTTTTGAGCATTAATGGACAGGAAGTTATCATCACAATAAAGTTGCAAACGCTGCCAAGAGCTGCTTTACGCCCAACTGAGATAAAGATAAAATTACAGCAGTGGGATTTGCTGGGGGCCGAGTTTTGGAAAATGACTCTCAACTGTCCTCAGATAAGGCCCCAAGTCCTTTATGAACGAGCTAAAAAGATAGGGGGCCAAAACACAATCCTGTTTAACCCCTCTATTACTCAGGATCTCATCCGTCAGTTCTCCATGCAGTCCGTGGTGGACCTGACAGCTGGTGTGGAGGTGCAGCTTTCGAATGGGAAACAGCAGTCTCTTTGTCAATCAAAGTCTTCTGTAATTTATCTCACAGTAGTTTTCTAGGGACTGAGTCAAAGGCCTCTTTCTAGTCAAAGAAGGTGGCAAGCACTCTTCTTCCACCTCTCTTGCCATATATCTCAGCCAAAATGTGCCAAAATTGCACAATGGTCCAGTGTGCATCTGTTAGCGCAAAAGCCTATCTGTTCTGGCCCAAGGACTTTTTGGATTTCCATCCAGGTTGTCCATTTTTCAGCTAGGCGTCTTGCATAGAGATTGCCCACAAGAATCGCAAGGTTATTACGAGAGGATATCTGAATGCCATGCTGCCATTATGTTATCTCATAATGAAATGTCGGGAAAAATATAGAATTGTACGTAAGTGACTGCAATAAGGACCAAGCAAATGCACACACTTACCCAAGTGGACAGGGAATGGCCAAGGTACAAGAGGAATTTGGCAGACGTGAAAAAGCTTGTACAGGATCCTGAAACGGAAATAACAGAGGACTGCTATAGGCAACTCGGGGACACTTTGCAGCTTATTCACCACTTTTTTGCATGCACTAGAAACAGGGGTGAAATTCATTGCTGCTACGTCTATTTGGCTTTAGTCTTCCAAAGAATACATTCAAGAGTGATGAGTATTAATTTGACCATTGTAACTCAAGCAGCTTGATGACTACCCATTGACTTCAGTCTTTTATTTGAAACTGGGGGGGGGGAGAGAACTGCCTAAGTTTTATCAATTGTTGCCTCTCATTATGCACACAACTACAATTCCCATCATCCCTGGCTAGTACAGCCAGAAGTATACCAGCCAGAGATGAAGAGTATTGTTTTTCTTTACATCTGGAAGTAGGAAAAATGTGCTTTTAACATTTTGCCATAAACAGGGCAAAATCCTGTTCGTACAGCCAGAGCATACAAGTTATGCTCTTGTAAATGTGCTGGGTGTTACATCCAACAACAGGGAACTGTACAATCGATTGCATGGTTCCCATTGCAACCACTTTGCAGTGTGCCAGCGGCAGTGCTTCACAGAAAGCAATTCCACCTTGGCGCTACCATAGCTACAGCATGGAGGGGAGAGTCTGTACATACAGCATGCCACTATCTACCTCACCACTCCAGCAGGCATGTACTGTACTGAGAACACACCGTTTCTGTGGTCACAGTGGCAACAAGAACTGCACTTAAGTGTCATTAAAATCAATTTAGATCTTATGATTCACAGGACACAAGGGTGAAATTGATTTTATATCAATTTATATGGTCTGCAAAGTGAGTTCTTTTTTTCAACTGGTTGGCAGGGGCTTTTTAAAATGCTCACTTCTGAAATCCATTCCAATGAGTTGATTTCAGCAGTTTAAATAATCAGGTTCAAATCACATGGTATTTAAACCAGTTTGTAAATCACCAGAAATAAATCGGTTTTCATTCAGTGCATGGGAGTTCGATTCCCACCCTCCCCACCCCACCCCCGTGCCTCACTGACAAGGAGCTGGACTTGATGATCTCTTGAGGGTCCCCCTTCCAGCTCTGCAGGGCTAAGGTTATTAAAGAACTGCTGGAGAGCTCAGGGGTTTAAGGTCTCCGGCTGCGGAGCCAGAGGTTGGGAGTTCGATTCCCCCCACTGGACCTCCTTGACAGAAGCGGGACTCGATGCTCTCTGGAGGATCCCTCCCTTCCAGCGCTGCAGGTGGCAGAGCTCCGGCTGGCCGGGCATGTTCTGCGGTGGCCTGGGGGCGCGGGGGCGCAACCCTTCCTGCCGA